GTCCTTTAAAATCTTCAATTCTGACAATTCATTCTCAGTACTCTCCGTTATGTCTTTCAGGTGGGTGGGTTTTACAAGATTTTTCTTCGTCGCAAAGAATGGTACATAATTTGTCGATGTGATCCTCATGATTCGAAATAATTATGCCTCATCCTTTATCTGGACGAATTAGTATTATATCCTCGTTATTGGACAATTCCCTCATTTGTTTTTTTATGCTCTTTTGATATCATTTGTCGTTGTCTTCTTTGCTTTTTTAAGTATTGATATTAACAATACAATATGGCCGATTTGAATTGTTCTAGGCTTTCACTAGACCTCAGAAGTAGGCCCTGTGTCTGAGACATCAGATTTACTAACTGCACCTTCGCATCTGATTCGTCAACTCTGGATGAAAAAGTACAGAACTTATGACCAAGAGATAGGATTTGCATGTGAATGTCAGACAGAGTCATACTGGAATAATTACAAACATATTTCTCCGGTGATTCCGGGAATTTCATATTAGATTCGGTTTTCATTTTTTGGCAATTTTTGAATATCTTAATTCTTATATCATAGGATCTGTTCTTAATCACACTGAACATATATAATCCTCAGACTGGCTACGTTCGGTCTCTGTCTGTTCAGATGAGAAAAGGCAGGCGTTTGAATATGTTATTCTCAGTCCTAATCCGAAGCACTTGTGGATTATTAGTATACTTAGTAGCCTGCTGACTATCATTTCACAGTAAAGTTGGAAGTAAATATCTAGATGATCTGTTATTCAATGCTACAGTGCTTTCCCATCTTCATATCCTTGAATACGTTTTAGCCATTCTATCCCAAATCTCGAGTGTTACTGACAACAGTGAAATCCTCAAATAAGGTATTATAATTATATGTCAATAGTTTACACACAATGACAAGTTTCTTTTGGTAATAATTATACCTCATTTGATCTATTCCACAATGCTCAAACGTATTACTGACATTTAGTGAAATCCTCATTGTTTACAGACTTTAAAAGACGTCAGTCGATAATCCAGCTGTCTTAGAGAAAGTCTGTGCTCCTACATTTTGTCGTCCTACCAAGTCAGTTATTCAGGATTTTAATTCTTACAATTTTATCCCGAATTCATTAATTTATTGAATAAAAAATAGCGGCCAGTGGGGGTTGATAAGATGGTTGACTTCCAGAAAAGCATTCTTTTTAGAACACCTAATAACCAGTCCGTGGAAATATTCACATCACATCAGAAAAAACTGGAAACCATCAGTCTATCGGTAACAGGCCAAGACTTTAAACGCTTTAGACTAGCTTACATCTGACGATAAGAATTTCACAGTTATACTTCGTTTAGCATTGTAGGAAGATACTGACCAACAAAAGGGCAGCGATTCTACGTCAAATGAGTGAAATTCAACAGGATAATTTCCTTTCACTTAAACTTAATTTTTAAAAAACACGTCAACATCTGTATTACTCTTAACAACACACAACATTTCTAGTACAAATAACAACTGCAGTTTAATGTCAAAGAAAACCCACTGATGATATTGGTGCTGGTGCAGTTGCGCTAAAATCACGAATTCGTAAGAAGTTGAAATTTTTTTGTCGGTTGAAAGCTGAGGAGTAGAGTCCCAGTGAGTGAATAGTCTATGAGCTCACCTTGTAACCGGAAGGTCCTGGGTTCAAACCCTGGCTGTGGATGCGTACTGTCGATCCATGAGTCCTAAACTAGTACACTCACTAGTTGGCTTCCTATGGCTTTCTCTATCTGGTATCAATCAACCCGTGGACAAACTTGAAAAACAAATCAAATCTCTTTCACGTTCCCCAGTGGAACATAGGGCTTCAAGATAGTGGCTTGAAGTTTCTGTAGCAGTGTTTATTTATTTTACAGGATGGGGTCGCTAGCCTCATGCCCAACCTTTCCTCTTTACCAGCATTATTTCTGGCTTACCGAGGTAAAGGAGTGTGTCTGTGGCCGGGGATCGAACCCCGGACCATGTGAGGCATGGTCGGCCAGCGTCCTAACCGCTATGCAACCGACGCTCTTAGTAGACTACAATCAATATAAATTTATACTTCTATTGTGGAGAAAATTTTACTTTAATGAAAAGTCTCACAGTGTTAGCAGTAGTAATATTTACTGAAGATATTTCGAGCAGAATTTATTGCCCACAATCATATCAAGGTAAAAATTGATTACACATATAAATGAATCAAAATAAAAGTCAATAAAAACAGAAAGGAAAATAAATTACATCGAGAAATAATAAAGTGTAATACAATGCAAAATAAGATGAGTGCTGTTAGTCGATTGACGGTGGAAGAATTGCTTTCCGGTAACATTCAATAAGCCTGGAACACTGTGACCCTAGAAACCTAGACCTCTGTAGGACAAAATCCGTATTAAACTTCTTTTAACCAGTCTACATGAAAATTACTATTCTATTATGAAATATCACAAAACTATTCAATATGTCAACTTGGTATCACATAAACTTGATATGATTGTGAGCAGTCAATTGTGATAGAAACTTCATCAATAAATACTACTTACTGTATAACATTTTTTATTTTGTTTTTATTTTTGATTACAGCTTGATTCCACACCGTATTTTTGGTACAAGTATGGAATCTTCAGTATGGATATCGGTAATTATTGAATTGAATTTTTGATTTTCCCGTCGATTGGGCACTGGGTTCGAGCCTCGGTGAGAACATCATCATCACTCACTGAGAAATGCAGGTACATCCAGCTGACGAGTCCCAAATAGGACGAAATGCGCATCCTGGATTCCACTGCTAGCCACCATCCACCAATTGGATATCGGTAGCCCAAATTTTTCAGGCCGACCATAGATATAAGGTGTACGTCGGCAGGGGATCGAACCTCTAACCATGTGCATGGTCGGCGAGACTCCTAACCACTGTGCCACAGACGCACAAAATAAATTGCATCTGACGACGATATTTCACGCCGTCAGTACAGGGTATTGGGAGTAGTTTTCAACTAACAATAACCGCGCCTAAGATAAACTTCATTGGCTACGGTACCGCCACTGCGCAAAGTCCTCTTCAGACTTTATCAAAATAATGTAAGTGTAGAAGTTGGCCATTGTGGTGGTAGAATGTAACTCCATATCAGTTAAGTTTATTTCAAATATCACACAGTGATCATTCAGTATTAACAACCGGATGACGAGTTTTCGAGCATAAATGATTCACACTCATAATCATATCAATTAGTCACATAGTTTCACAATTTGTCTTACACGTAGATATTTTTGTTCTTTCTCCCGTTCAATCTTCAACTGGTTGTTTGTTGCCAATCTCTATATCTCCCGTATAGGCATTGCATCAGTCCGGCTTCACGTGTACAGTATTGAATCGACAAACAAAGCCTCAGTGATTAACTTCTCTCCCACACAAACACACACACACACACAGTGTCTCCACTTAACTATATTGCTTTTGAATCTTTTCACTCTGTCCCACCCACCCACTTATTTGGTGACTACATGCAAGTGAATGCAACACAATGCACATACACACACACACACACTGAGCTCTGTTTTTCTAGCTTATTCAACTTACTTATCAGCATCAATTGTTCTGGGTGTAGGTAGCTAAATGTTTCTGTTCCAATCATCTAGCTGACGCCAATCTATTAGGTTGTCTGACCTGTGTAATCGACCTTACTTCATAGTCATTGCATGGTGTTTAATAAATTGTATCACTTTTTTAAATTAGATCTGTGAGGTTGTTAAGCCGACAGATAAAGTTAATCTCTGAGAGAGTTGGTAAGTTGGTTAGATGGTTGGTTGGTTGGTTGGAATGCCTCATTGAGAATTCTATGTAAAGCCTTAGATGATGTTGCTTCTTTATGCTGAATGTTTGTTTATTGATTCAACACTGGACATGTGCAGTCGAAATGATGCAACTCATTTGCTGGAGATGTGGAAAGCGGTAACAAACAAAAAGTTGAAGATAGAGAGGGAAAAATTAAAAATATCTATTTATGAGACATTGTGAAACTGTTTGACTAAATTGATGTGATTATGAGCAGTGATAAATTCTGTTCGAAACTATGTCATCCAGTTGTTAATAATGAATGATCACTGTGTGATTTTTGAAGTGAACTTGTCTAAGAGGAATTTATCTGATGCTCACTAGCGACTAGCCCTATTCAAACAGTTAAGGTGAGATTCTAGTGGGAAGCCGTGACCAGTAGGGTAAAGCAGGTTGAAGACGAGGCAGTAATTCATCGAAGAAGACATTGCGAAATGGTCGCACTACGTCGTAATTAGTAGAAGTTAAAAATTCAAAGACCATTGGATCGGATCCCAATGGCTCAATGGTCTACGAGCTAACTCGCCTTGTAACGAGAAGCTCCTGGGTTCGAACCCTATAGTGTGGGTGTCTACTGATGAAGAGTCCCAAACTAGGACGAAACATCTGTCCAGTACTCCCAGGCTTTCCAGAGCTTCTCTAACTGATGTCAGCTCATGATGAAATCCTCCATGCAATCAAACAAAATCCCTACAAAATCAATATTTGAGAATTTATAAAACACAAAATAATTGAGCTCTACAATTATATATATATATATATATATAGGATATTTGCTATTATACATATATGCTGCTGCATCTTTATTATTATTATTTAAGCATCTTTAATGGACTGTAATTGCATTGATCTTACTGTACAAATCGATATTATTTAAAAAACACTAGTACTGTTATTAACTACTAATCTAGAATATTCTATGTATATAAACGTATATATAATTGTAGAGCCAGAAGAGGAGAAAATTATCAAAAGCGATATTCTTTGTGTTTTATATATGTCTGAATAAGAGGAGTTTATCACAGTAAAGTGGAATTATACTGTATCACAGTGCTTAAATTCTATGCTAATACTAATTTTATACTGACGGCTGAAAGTAAATTAACTAATTAAGAATACAGAGTCGTGATAATGATTATTTTTAAAGTTAGCTACTTACTCTGGCCGCCATTGAAGTTTGTGGTTTCTCTACCAAATCCCATATATTTTTTTGCAGTGTAGCCCATTTTCCTGTACCGAATTGTTCTTCTTGTGCTTGTGATAAACTTATCTCCCTTGTCTTCTTCAACTCTTCTTCAACTTGTTCTTTTTTCTGATAATATTTATAGAAACAACATGTTTCCAGTTGGTATTCATTTATACCCCAGTAGAATAAATCATTTTTAAAGGCTAATACACAGATATCTTCTAAAAAGTGTAAATGGCCTGTACGATAAACACCAAGTATTGAACCGAATGAACGTGCATATTGATCAAAGTATAACTCATTTTTTTCAGTTGAATAATCATCAAATAACTGAGCTAATTCCTCAGGATTATTAGATAAACTCAATCGACCAAGACGAGATAATGGTAGACGTTTCAGAGTTTTCCACATCACTTCATGTCTTTCACCGCCCACATTAAGTATAATACGACTGTGATGATTACGAGCTCTTAGAAATGCTGGTACATTGACACTTGCTTTAAGTAAATCTGTTAGCGAATCATAACTTCGCAGTGAAATATGATCAATACTGCTGAGATTATTATTCGATGTTAAATGACTATGCTGAGCGTGTGACAGTGAATGTATATTTCTACCTATATATCTACTCAAAGTTTTACAGAAAGCTTTAGATTTATTTAAACGTGAATGTAACTTTTTTCTTGGTTTTTTTCGTAAACTGATGTCATCGTTATTTGATATGTTATTGTTGTCAAGCACTCCATCAACATTTGACACGCCAATTCTACTTGGAACAGTTTTAACAACATTATCAGTATTGATGAAGGCAGTATTACTGGTACTTGTAGATGTTTCATTGACTGTAATATTATTCCCGGTGTTCTCCATTGATTACATCTCCTAGATTAGAGTTTCCCAACAGGATAAATGGAAATAGGGTATACACCTCTCATGGATTTTGTCGTTTCTTCATTATAGTCCTTCTTTCAACTGAACATTTTATTATGATGAATAAGATTTCATAATTAGTAGTGATATTTTCAAACTATCTCCACTTTTCGCATTTTTTTTCAACCTCTTGTGACTTTTTCGTACCAAATCTTTCACAGAAAACTTTTTTTAAATATTTCCTAAATTATTTTCTCAATCAAAAGTCCTCTCAGGCACACAATAAAAGTTTCAATACACGTGGAAACGGTGAATACACATAAATTCTAAATGTGGGTATGCTATACTGACTAACATGCATAAGTAATTAACTGCTTTTACACATGCACACAACCAACCTATTCAGCATGCATGTAGGCATATAGAGTACTACTATCAATCAGCATAATATATACACATACACACACACACACACATCAGTTGGCGAATAAAATTTCACGGCATACATTTACTGTCCACATTCACCACACCACCTACCATCAAATCTCCACTTACCACCATATAAATATCTGCCTATAGAAAAAGCCCAGTGACCAATAAGAATATGTCTGACTAATTAAACCTGATGAAATCACCAATAGATACGATAGTTTCCCAAATTAAACACGTGACTTTGCTATCACAACGTATTGTGTAGCATTTTCCATTGCTTCCCTCATCAATATAAAGAATGTGAAAAGTATTTTAGTGCAGGAAATGGGAGTTTGGAAAATACACTTGACTATGTTGACTGTCTTGTAGACATGAATATAAAAGATTTGAAAATGTATTCTTTTAATGTCTTAATGCCTTGTTTACTAATGAATCATTAGTTAAGACTGTTGTTATTCTTTGTGTATCTCTATATATATACCTCCTAGTTGTTTTTTCATTCACTTTTCCCTCAACTTGTTTGAAAGATTCATCACTATTATAGACTGACAACGTCAATTTCTCATTTGAAGTTGAACACTTCTGACAAGTAATGGAGTTGCTATGGTGAGTCTGTTAGGCCTCTTGTTGGCGGATGTTTATATGTTTTATGTTGAAAACTTGTCCGTTGATTCAATTGCTAAAGTGCCCTTCCATAAGAGATATGTAGATGTATAATTTCGAGATGAGATGATCATGAAGATGAAAGTCGTCTAATGTATAGACTTAACTCCGTACAGGATCATATAGTTCCTACATGCAAAGAAGAAGCTCACAATCAGCTTTCACTTTTAGACACACTTCTGAGTCAGAGAGACTATGGTTCATTGAAGCGATCAGTTATTAACAGAAACCCTACTTGGACAGGCCAATACTTAAATGAAAAAGAGAAGACGTCCAGCGAAGAGACTCTTTTCGGCGAATTCATTCACATAGCTGTACAATCGCATTTATATATAATTATTTGAGTGTGTGTGTGTACATGAGGTTTGTCAAAATTAGATAATTGATCAGGTAATAAAAGAATGATCTAATATAGAAACAAAGTTAATTGGACAGCAACTAAATTAAGATTGAGTTAGTAAGTTAGATGACGTAATACAATTGACTAAAATGTTTTAACTTAGGTCAGGTTAGCAACAGAGGTAATTACAGGTAGAGACTAAGTAGAAGTGGGGTAGATAATAATGCCATTTAGATTAGAAATGAAATTGAGCAATTAAGTTGGATGACGTAACATAAATGACTATAAATTGAGCGTTGGTCAGGTCAATTAAAGTGGTAGTGAGGTGTAGAAATTAAATCGGGTAGGGGTAGAGACAAGAAAGTTGAAAATGCAAAATATTACAATTGAGAAGACAGAATAATACCAATGAAGAGACAGAAAAAAATTAGGTAGAATTTACCTTTCAGGTAATAATGTAGGTTAAGTCCATTGTAAGTTTAGTGATTGAACGAACCTCTTCTGTATGCAGAGTTCAGGGCTTAGCAAGTGAATCGCCATTGCTTCTGCAGTAACAACAGAAGACAAGGGCCAGGCAACAGATCGTTTTATTATGAAAATCAACACGTATTTATACATATTTCAGACAACATTATTATAGACAAGCGCAGTCATCTGATTGGTTGTTTAGGTAGACAAACGCAGGCTTCTGATTGGTTGTTTCGGGATTCCTTGACAAATAGAGTTCTCTCTGCGAATCATATTTTGCCACGTTAACTTTGCTGTGATTGGTTGTTGACTCAGCCTTGTTCACGGCCCATATTAGTGACCTAGACCTTAACGTAGATTAGTGCCAACCAATCGGCTAGCAGCCTGCTCTCACCACACTCGTCCCCCCGTCAAATACGTGCGACTGAAGTCGGCTTGATCTACTTGGTGCAGGCGTCATCGTTGGCTTGTCTCGCTGTATCCATTTCTGGAGCTCGCTGACGTTCACGCGCCTCTCATTGTTCGCCATTGCGACTGTGTCTGCGTAACCCCATCTCGAAGTGACCATATATGGTCCTTCCCACTTTGGAAACTGTTTGCCTGACCCTGTCGAACATTCGTCCATATTTCGGCTCACACCTTCATATGCTGCTTTCGCCCGACCTCCCAGCAGCGTCTCAAGTAGCAGCTCCATCGCTGACAGATCTTGAACGCCACTCAACTGCGCAGAAGCCTTGAAGTCCTGCCCGAAGATCCATATGTCTCCATCAAAAACTGCAGGGTATAGGCTTTTCATTTGTCGGTAGGCAGCGACACTTTCTTCGCAGCTGAACTACGACTAACTTTCTCCACAAAACCTATGATTCATGTGAACGTGAAGGATAAGCTACCACTGTTGGCCTCATCAATGTGTATCTACCAATTCACCTGCTCGTGTGGAGCCAGGTATGTCGGCCGTACCCAGCGTTCGCTTTCCAAGCGTATCACCGAACACTTACCAGCATGGTTTTACAAAGGAGAAAAGCGATGTCCCCGCAGCTCCATCTTAGAACACCTGATAGAATCCGGACACCAAGCTGCACCCCAAACAAACTTCAAAGTCGTCTACAGAGTAAGAAGTAGTCTTCCAAAAGGTGTACGAATCAGACTTCTTCAAACTGCAGAAGCAATGGCGATTCACTTGCTAAGCCCTGAACTCTGCATACAGAAGAGGTTCGTTCAATCACTAAACTTACAATGGACTTAACCTACATTATTACCTGAAAGGTAAATTCTACCTAATTTTTTTTCTGTCTCTTCATTGGTATTATTCTGTCTTCTCAATTGTAATATTTTGCATTTTCAACTTTCTTGTCTCTACCCCTACCCGATTTAATTTCTACACCTCACTACCACTTTAATTGACCTGACCAACGCTCAATTTATAGTCATTTATGTTACGTCATCCAACTTAATTGCTCAATTTCATTTCTAATCTAAATGGCATTATTATCTACCCCACTTCTACTTAGTCTCTACCTGTAATTACCTCTGTTGCTAACCTGACCTAAGTTAAAACATTTTAGTCAATTGTATTACGTCATCTAACTTACTAACTCAATCTTAATTTAGTTGCTGTCCAATTAACTTTGTTTCTATATTAGATCATTCTTTTATTACCTGATCAATTATCTAATTTTGACAAACCTCATGTACACACACACACTCAAATAATTATATATAAATGCGATTGTACAGCTATGTGAATGAATTCGCCGAAAAGAGTCTCTTCGCTGGACGTCTTCTCTTTTTCATATGACTAAATGGGGATTTTCAAGATACTCAATACTTAAATCTCTACAGCTTCTGTCCACTACAGTATAAGAGAGGCTTGGGGAAGTGTATATTCAGAAGAATTTAGCGTATTTGTACAGCTGCTGTTATAGACGATGGGAATAAAATACTGATGGATACTCTTATTGAGGACGGATATCCTTTAAAAGATTTTAAACCAGTGTAGAAGTTAGTTAGTAAGTTTTAATGTCCACAATCTATACTGTCCCTAAGAAAGATGTTTGCATTAAATTACCGTACAATGGGGACGTAGATAGTAGGTCTTTAAGACAGAAACTAAACTTAGTCATCTGGAGAACCTATCATGCTTATACTTATTGAATAAGCCAGTTAAAAATACGCTCCACTGCAAACCTCAAAGGTGCATAAATGTCGCTTCCCACACTGTTCACCAATTCACGTGTGTGTCTGCGTGTGTGTGGAGACACATTCATAGGGAGGAGTAATCTCACTTCTCATGTGAGGGTGGGGGAGCATATTCTGAAGTGATTAGAAAAACAAATCAACTTTTGACAATCGACAGACACAGGTGGTAGACTTCTAACTTCGTCTATAGCTAAGCATTTAATTGTGATATGAACCACAACAAGATTGGTGTTAAAACAGCTCTATAAGGTTACTTTAAAGAGGGCCAAGAGCGCTTATTGGAACACGCTGAGGCGATGGCTATTCATAAACTTAAGCCCCACACCCCCTGTGTGTACAAAGGCAATTTAATATTACTCCTAACCTACATTGTTAATCCTTATCTTATATTAGATAACCAAAGCTGGTCACTTTGTGTATTTTGATTGGCCCTTATTTTTCAAATAAATTGACTTGACAAGTAAATGTGTGTATGTGTGATCAGATCGTTGTTCGAAATGTACTGCTCAAATTCATCACTTTTTTCTTAGATAATCTCCCCCTTCTAATTACACTATACAAAGTTTGAAAATATCCAGTTTTTAAAGATGTGATAACTCATGTCATTTATTTTCATTTCATAAAACACTGAATGAAGGTGAGTGTGACAACCATTTTTAAAGTTCATAGTTTTTTGTTCCTTCACGTTCCCAGTGGGACGTAGGGCTTTAAGCTACAGCTTTGAAGTTTCGGTAGCAGTGGTTTAATAATAATAAAAAATAAAATTTTACGGAATGGAGTTGCTAGCCTCATGCCCAACTATGCCTCTTTACTAGACTTATTATTGGCTTAGCGAGGTAACGGAGTGTGTCGACCGTGGATAGAACCTCGAACCACCTACATGGTTGGCGAGCATTCT